TTCACACCTGTAAAAGATACATTTTTTCATACTTTATGCTTCCCCCTGTCAGGAAGTCCTTTGCTGTTTGCAGCAATAGTACTTTGATTCATCACTCCCTTTTAGGTAGGTAGTTTGATTCATTCCGAAGATGCATTCCCTAAATGAAAGGAAGGGAAATGTAGGAGACTATTGTCTAAATTGCTTGATGGTTTCTTATAGAGGGGAAATTTAAGGAGAAGGTTGATTCCAAATCAGATTATCCTGTGATATGCAGGAGTAACTGTATATTTCCATTATAGAAAACGTCATTGTATTTCTTCATATCATAGCATATAGCTTTCTCAGATTTTAAATAATGATTTTAATTTATTTTATCAAATTAAGTGCTTTTATAAAGTAGTAACAAAGATTAATTCTATTATATTTTAAAGTTATGTCAAGAAACTCTCCCATATTTTTTATTTGAAATTTTTTTCATAGATTTCATGAATTTCTTAAATTTACAAACATTCATGACTTTGTAAATAAAGAAATATGCAAATGTTGCAGTAAACAGTAGCATTTTTTATTGTCATATGTCCTGGTAATGTTTAATTTGTTTTGCTGTATATTTTCTTGAAATTATCAAAATTCTTTAAAAAAATTTATGTGGAAGGTATTGTTAAAAAATAAATGCTACATAAATGATGAAAAACATAAACTGTGTGAAAATGTTAAAATTTAAGGTAAAAGTTTACAATTGGGTGCCCCTTGTTTTTTGGTGATTCCTTTTTGATGCCAAGATTGGTGCCATGAAGGCACAATTTCAAGATGGTTGCTATACAAAACCAAAATAAGAAATGAAAGAATTGCACAAACTATGTGTCCATGTATACATAGATCTATTTTCACTTAAGAAAACATCAGAGAATAGCACAAACTAGGCATTGCACACTGCCTTAACTTTGTCCATGAACACATCGATCTATTTTTATTTTAAAAAAATCAAGAAGCGAAAACAAAGTTAAAACCATCATGGTAACCAGAAATGGAGTTTCATTGCCAAAACTGAACAAAATTTGTCGCTAATCAAAGGGGCACCCAATTCTACACTACAACCAAATTTAAATTGCAGAAAATTTTAAATGTAAATAAATGTGTGTTGAAACATAATGTTTAAGAATAAAAACTGACAAAAATTTAAAATACAAAGTGTTTAGTGTATTCTGTATTGCAATTTTTTTGTAGCAAAACACTTTCAGATTGGAAGGAAAAATTGTGTGGTTAGTATAGTTTTTGAAAGAATAGGAAGAAGTTACAAGATAGGTAGTTGTTATCGTCAATTCTTAGTATTATAATTCTGTATTTTATGATGTTACATAGTCTAACATGTAAAGTAGAAGCTTTCATATTTCTTCATCAATCAGCTCTCTTTACCATTTTGGCATGTTGCTATAAAATTAACAAGGTTCGTAGCAGTCCTTACAAGTGCTCATAAGTCCTTATATTTGAAAATAAAAAATAAAAGCCTTTACAGGTGCTTACTTTTGCTCTAAAGCACTTATTCTTTTTTTTTTGTTTTTAGTGCTTATTTTTGGCTTCTAGTGCTTTTTTTTTTTAAACGAACGCATGTTTTTCCCTGTACCAAAGCCGAAGCTAAATAAACAACTTTTCTTCCTTATATAGAGCGTCAAGTGGCAAATCATACTCCCAGAAATAGCTTTTTGCCCCTTTCTCTGCATTAACATACACTTTGATGCGCGCGAGTACACACAGGTGCACATCGCTTTTTATTATGATTGATATGCTTATATTATGAGCATATGTATGAATATTTATAATAATATATTTGCAGTAACTGCTGAAGTATAGATAAACTTCAAAAATGGGTAAGTGTGTTTTAACATAGATTGGTTTTCTAAGGAATAATATTCGGAATGGCATACATAATGTGAAAGTAATCGAATAGACAAAATACTTTTTTTTTTTTTTTGCCAATGCATTATATAGTACGGAAGTTGGGGGTTATCCCCTTTCTCTGCAAAATCTCGAATATTGAAACCGTTACAGTCAGCAGCAAAGCAAGCAATAGACTTTTTTTCTTTTAGTCACTTTTCAACCTGAATTGAACAGGACTAAAAGTTCTGCGGTCTACAAACCCAAGCAAAGAATGATTCTGTTCATGAAATTTAATGCAGTCGGTTCAAAATTAGAATGAAAAACACCCCAAATTAGTAAATCTATTAATCAATATGAGTACAGCAGGGATATTGTGCGAAGCGGGAGCGCGACATGTCCTGCTCGATGATAAATATGCCAAGATGGTGAAAACCAGACGAAGCAAAGGGGCGTTTTCCTTTCTTTAGTTATTTATTCTCAGAATACTGGCAGCTGTTGATTCCGATTGCGTAATATCAGGCGTGAAAGAATTAAGGCGCACGTTTTGCACAATAACGTTTGCGATATTTCGCAGAGATGAGAGAGTTTTACTGTGCTTAGGGGATTATTTTTCAGTTCCATTGGGTTATTTTTTATATGGTGCACAGATCGAAATGTCAAAAGCATTATTTAACTGAAAAATGTAAAGAACGGCTATAATCTACCCCCTCCCTCTTTTACCAGTTACACTCGATTATCCAAAATTTTCAGATATTCGGCAATTTCCGAGTATGCCGGTTAGTTAAGCTTTTACTGTTAAAGGATGACTGCATGAAGCAATTTTCCGTCTTCTGATTCCAGGAAAGTTCCTTTTTCTTACTTATTTTTACTTAAATTACTTTGCTTGCAATATCTGTTATGGGAAAACTGTTATACAATGAAAATGTAGAAAATATTCAGAATTTTGATTTAAGTTAAATTATTTAAATATTAATATGAGTGGGAAAATAAATTGTATTTATTTTTAGGTGCCAAGCGAATATAATAAATATGGCTTATTATTATTTATCTTCTCTATTTTGAACTGAAATTTCATCGTTAAATCTTGTAATATAATTTAGTTCAGCATAGTTTTTTTTCTCTCATTGTAAACTTGTTCTGTAAACTGAACTGTTATTTAAAATTAAAAAAAAAAAAAAAGAATGTAATTGTTTTCCATGGTTGAATAATGCTCGTTCTCTCTTAATAAATATTGAATTTCTCATATTTTAAATTACAAGTCTAATTTTTCTTTTAAGGTTATGCAGTTGTGTATAGACAGGTGTTTATTTTTTTTTTCTTAAAATGTGCTTGAAAAGTGCTTAAAGGTGCTTATTTTTTTAACTAAAATGTGGCTATGAACCCTGATTAAGCAAAATAAATCCAAGAATATGGAATGCTTCAAAGATGAGGAATATTTCAAACAAACGCTAGGCTCTATTTATAAATAAGGTTATCTTGGAATTCTGAAGCTGCAAGAATGAAAAGGGAATGATAGGGAAGACGAGATCCTTAACACTAAGACCTCTAAAAGCGATAGATAAGTGGTTAAGATTATTTGCGCTTTGGCAGCTGAGGATGATGGTTTGATAAAACCATCAAAACTAGTTCTGTGAAAATTTGCAAATATAACGCTGATTTTTAAAATTTTTTATTTCTAAATACTTGTTCGATATGTTATTTTATCTTAAGTTATTAAGACTGGAGGGATATCAAACTTGTTCACTTTACTCTTTCAACTTGGAAAATGGGGGGGGGGGATAGCTTCGAAACATATCCTTTCAAACAAAAAATACACATGTAACACACAGAGAAATAAACACATGTATATTATCATTTACCAAGATAAAAGTTGCATAGTATTTCTATTTCTAATTCCAGTTATTTGCAGCTTCTCTTCTTCCAAGAAAGAAGAAAATTAATAGACAGAGGTTTCATGCTGTGCAAGAGAGAGAACTAATACCTTGTAGAAAACATAACTGTTTAAATTGAATCATTTGACTTTTATTTCAAAAGGATATTACAAAATAAAGGCTCAGTGCATTTTAAGAGACATAAGCAGTTATGCATTCTGTTTCCTCCTCAGTATCAGAGATGGAGTGAAGAGCAGTGGGATTGAGAATGGTTAGACAGATTGGAGTGAAGAGCGAAAAGAATTGAACGAGGAGTGGGATCGGAAGAACTGATTCAATCAAATGTTAATTCCCTGGACCGCTTCCTTTCAGTTGTAGTTTCAAGATTTCATAAAACTTCCTTTCTATACAGAACCAACAATAAAATTCTAGGATTTAAAAAAAAAGTTAGAAAATGACAAAAATTAAACTCTCATTTAACATGGAAGAATATACATTCTCCTCTCTCCTAAAATGAGAATTAAACTTTGCTGGCTTGCTTGCAACAAGAACTTCCAGTGGTCAAACTCTAAAGGATATTACAAAGAGCTACCATTCTTTTTTCACAAACTAGGCATTTGCTCGCTCAATAAAATAACCGGTTCTTTGAATGAATGAATAGTACATCTCTACACAGTATTTAATTTTTAAATCATAATCAAATAAAGGGTAAAACTTTATCAAAACATCAGTGCAATTGTTGCACTAAATTTAATAAAATTATTCAAAACTTAATATTCTATTTTGTGAAATCAATAAGTACAGAAATAATGAAGATATTCATATAAAAGTTTTAGGAATGCTTTCTATTCTATTTATTAATTAAAAAGGATTCCTGAAAATTTCTTAATATAAGAATCGTTACATAGAATGATTTCTTGCAGTTTAATTTACAGCTGTATTCACAGCAAATGTTTTAGATGAAATTTACAAAAAAATTTGAAAGGTTCCCCCTCCCTCCAAATATGTTAATGTTAGAAACCTGCTTTATTCCAGAATATAGAATGATTTAATTTTAATCTGGTTAACAAAAAACTATGGATAGCCATAGAATAATAAATTAAGAAAAAATTATGAATTTTTTTAATTAGAACTTATGTAAAAATATTTGGATTTGTTAAAGTATTAGGATGGTATATTAAAAACTGCAGATGCTTCATGTTGCTTATGGAATTTTATAATTAAGTATTTTTTCATTAAATATTTTGTGCCTTTTCTTTATATTTTTAGGTCAATGATGCTATTAAACATGTTGAAGAAGGAAAATCTGCAGGAAAAGTTATATTAGATATTGTATAAGTTATGATCTTTAATGAATCCAACACAGTATTATTCTTTATGTGCTTCTTTGTATAATAAAAATACTTATGCTTCTGGTACTCTTTTTGTGTGAATTAATTTAAATTTATAAATGAAGCAATAATTTGTTTATATTAATTTAGACAAGCAGGATTATAGTTGTGATGTATTAATATAGGGTCAATTTTAATCAACCATATATTGACCATTATTATCTATGACATTTGGCCATTTTTGGGGTAGCTTCATAATTCCATCGATCTAGAACTGCTGTGGTTTATCATTGAAAAACTTGGCCAAGTGATTTTCAGTGGCACTTCGGCCAGCCAATTTTTTACCATCAAGAGGGTTTTGCAGAGACCGAAACAAATAGTAGTCAGATGGTGCAAAATCGAGGCTATACGGTGGGTGCATCAAAACTTAACCAAGTTTCGAGTCATCAAAAATGTGTATAGCATTGTCATGATGGAACAAAACTTCCTTTCAGTTGGCCAATTCTGGTCATCCTTTCCAGACTGCTTTGTTCAAACGGTCGAGTTGTGCACAGTAAAGGGTCAAATTGATGGTTTCACCAGCCCATAATGGATATTCACTTCCAATCTTGACATCGACATTTCTGGAATGGAATCAGCAAACCATTCCTGGGTCCTTCGTTCACTCACACCATTCTCACCATACACTTCATAAATTTTTTTGCATGTTACCTTTTTTATAGTAAAAAAGCATCACTTGGCATATTTCTTCAGATATTTCACTCATTGTCAAATCAATATAACTTTTTACACGAGCAACGAATTAGAAAACTATTTTACAAACTATGAAAGCTGAATGTCATCTAAGCATATGTTTGTTTGAGACAAACGTGCAAAAAAGCACGGAGACTTTTTATATGACCCGATATATATAACATTCAATAAATATCTTGCAAATATAGATTATTTTGTAACAAGAATTTTGTCAGCAACATTACAATAATGAAAATATTTATTTATTCAAAAATTCTGATTCACTGAAAAGAATAGTCAAATTTCAGACATTTATAGATATTTGAGCATGCAAGTGAAAATATTTTAATGATTACCAGGAACTTATGTAAAAATATTTGGATAAACTTTATAGCAAATAAACTTTATAGTTTTTTTTTCCAGTACAGTACAGTCTTTAATCCGGACTCCTCGGGACTTCGGTGATTCCAGATTAGGGTTTTTTCCGGATTATAGATCATCAATTTAAATCTGGTAAGATGGCATGCAGAAATTATAAAATTAAAAATATGAAACCCTAATTTGTGATATAAAGAGCAATTATGATCTAAAGGGTATCAAAATTTACAAAAAAAGGATTAATATTTATTTGTTTACTTTATTAAACATTTCTTTCAATGTAAGTTGTTTAAGTTGCTTCGTTTTATGTGCTAATACTTTCTCTTTAATTCTATAAACAGACATAATTTCTTGTTCAGTTACAAAGTTCCGCTGTTCAAGTCCTGTAATTGCTGTACCAAGAATACCGACTAACTTGTCAATCGAAATTTTTTCATTTTCACTAACCTCTCTGTCACTTTCTTCATGCCTTTATCCATTTCTTGCAGCAATTCCACTTTTTGTTTGATGGACATCGAAACATGCTTTCGCTTTGTAGATCCTTTGGCAGCTCCAGAATCAGAAACTCTTTTTGACATAATCTAAAGTTCAAGCTTACTTTTTATAAAATTGCTCTAACAGTCTGCAAAAATAATAAACTGGGTCCAATTATAAAATTAAGAAACAATGCAATCTGCAACATTAACTGAAATTAGATAGCTTTAGATTAGTTAATTTTAGCATAGCTTTAACATTATAGCGTTATACATTAAACGTGCATGCGTAAAGGTATTATGCGCATGCGTAGACGCATTATGCATTTACGCATGCGCAGAAAGTTTGTAGCTTTGAGGTCTGGATTATAGATCATTCCGGATTAAAGACTTTTGACTGTATTGGCTGATGCAAAAACCAAGGGAAAATATGAGTAACGTGCAGCAGTTATAACCTCTTGATATATCAAGTTCATATTTAACCAGTTTTTACCAAACTTGAGATTAACCATTTTATTAGGACTACAAAACACCACATATATGTGGTGTTGATATACAATATAATAAATTTTCAAAAAAGTTAAAAACATATATATTTTGGCATGTCCATTATAACGAATGTTGGGTCTTGCAATAATACATTTTACTAATGAGCAACAGACAACATAAATACTAATTTCAACTAAGATAAGTACAAGACGTGGCTTTAAGTGTTTAAAACTGAAATGTATTTTATAGTTTATGAAAAATATTGCAATTTTTGAAAATCTTATTATATGCACATAATAAATTTAAATGAGCTTAGATCATTTAAAAAAATATCTATTCACAAAATCCATGCATGTACACTAAGGAAGAAAAAAAAGGACTGTTCTATGACTACCGTTCTACTGGAACGATTGATGAAACTCAAAGTGCATTTTTCATGTCTCGAAAGCACGGCTTAGGATATATATTAGATTTATATATAGTATTGTTCTACTATAGGTATTTTGACATAAAATCAGACCTTTTCTGAAATGACATGCCAGTTTTTTTCCATATTTCAATTCTGACTCAAGTTATGCCTAAATATTAAATTTTGTAAAATTTGGTGCGAGATTTATGGAAAAATTTATCTTGGTGCTATTTTTTTTTCAGTTTGCAAGGAATTAATTCACTTGGCGAACTTCTTATTTACTGCAATCTATTTTCCTTTGCTTTTTTTCCACTGTACACAAGCAGAAAAAAAGTCATTGTTCATACTTTTAACAGTGCTTTAACCACATTTGGTGTTATTATTGCTTATAACAAATATGACAAATTCAAAACATTTTGCGTTTGAAATTTGTAATAATAAACAAATTTGGCAAATTTTATATATTCAATATGTAAATTCACGTATATCTTAGGAATCTTTGAATAAAAAAAAACTTGAATTTGAATGAAATTTTTTTGCAGGTATGCATAGAAATATATCTACTTCAATATAACGGTAAAAAAATTTATAGGTTATAATTAAAAATTCTTTTCAAAAAAATTATAAAAGTTATTTAAATATACAAATTATAAAAATTAATAAAAAATGGGGATTTTTATTTGAAATATGAAAGGAAGAATCAAATAAGTTTTAAAAAAAAGAGAGATATTAATAAAATATATAACAAATTTAATTAACATGGAGGAGCTGAAATTTTGAGAGCTAATTTTGTAAAAATCACTTGTGTCATTTTTATAAAACTTGGCAGTTTGGCATCATTTGAGTCGTAGAATCTAAATATGGGAAAAAGTCCGATTTTGTGTTCAAATACCTATATTAAAACAATGCTACATAAAAATCTAATATATATCCTAAATTGCACTTTCAAGATATGAAAAATGCAAGTTGAATTTTGTCAATCGGTCCAGTAGAACGGGAGATATAGAACTGTCCTTTTTTTTTTTTTTTTTTTTTGCTCAGTGTACTTCCACAAAACTATTTTGCACTGTTAGACAAAAATACATATCACTTTATTTATTCTTGCATCTTACAGAATTATTAATGTCCATCTTTTTTTAAATCTGCTTGATTTGTTGTCTTTTACTATATGAAGTGGACTCCATATTCAAGTCATATCTTTTATATTTACGAGTGTCTGTTTCTTCATCATTATAATCAGTCAACTGAGATGGTCTCAGCAGTTGTTCTGAAATTTTGCATGCACTTACCACTCACATAAGATTTTTGATCCTCTAATTAAAATCCATGCATTGACAACACTGAGATCAAACAAATGAAGAATTGTTTTGACCATCCATTTCTTTGTGTGTACCCTAATTTTATAGTAACTAATCACCCTATCAATTCCACCCATGTTGGCATTTTACTCTTTTATTATTACTGGTCTTGGAACTTCAATGTATTCTCTATTCTTTTTTTTTTTACCAATGTTTACTTACATTCATCTTGTTCTACTCCAAGTTTGGATGAGCATAACAATACAGCCTTTTTATCATATTTTACCTTACATATTTCATCAGACTGACATATCAAATGAAACTCTTTCCATTTTTGACATCATCTTATCATTTGTAAGATGAACTGCATTTGGGACTCTTGAATTCATGATAGTGCCCGTACATACAATATCTCTTCTTTAAATCATCTATTAATGGAATAGAAGTAAAATATCTGCCCCCCCCAAAAAAAAAGATGTGTTCCTCTGGCCACTAAACCTCATTACAGCTGCAGCACCAACACTGAAGCTCTGACCCTTTTAGATGAAAATAATGTATTTTTTCCTTGGTAGACTTCAAAATCTAACAGTAAACCACCTGGTGCTGCCAAAACGAAATTCTTTAATCCTTCTCAATTGGCTTCCATTGTACATACTGTTTTACAGCAGAGACACCTACCTGTAAATGGTTCATCTACAGCAAGAAGTATAAGACAATCTTTTCTAACTCAATCCATAATTGGTCTTACTTTGCAGAGCTTATCTTTCTGTAACTTTAGCATCATCAAGTACTTTTAAATGGTTTCTAATCTGAAAATATTTGTTTCTAGTTATTGCGTGAGCAATAGCAGGAACATATGTAGTTTTCTGCTAATACATACAAATGCTTGGGTAACCTAAGTATGACATCAGCAGGGTTGCTCATAAATATGCTTTCATGTCATTTACACAAATACTTAAAACATTACCTGTTTCTTTACGAAACTGGATCTTTATGAATTTGCACATTTCCATTATAAACTTATCCCAAAAGAGAGAAACAGTGTCCAGTTCTGCCTATCAGCTGCTGATTCATTACTAGCACAGGTGATATCTTCCAAGGCAATCAAATCTGTAATATGCAAAATAAAATAAAATAGAATATTTTACTACTACAAAAATGTTTAATTCATTATAACCATTTAAAAATGACATTTACTTTTCAATTTTCTCCCAAAATTGGCACCTACTTGTTTGAATTTTTGTCTGTGCTTCTTGCTCAGAAGTTTCCTTTTGTAACACTCATCACTCTCACTTGAACTGCACTCATCTAATATTTCCTTAAATATTAAAATATTATTCTCTTGGAGGCTTTTTTTTTTTTTTTCTTCTAATCTTCATCACTAATGTCAATGATCGACACATCACCATTCATTATGGCTTCCAAAAGTTTTTCTTTGCCTTTTCAACTTCTAAATACCGTCATTTCCAAAAAATCTCTAATAGAAATAAAACAGCTCTGGACAAGGCTGTGTAACATAGTATGTAATAGGTTTAAATTAAAAATATCCGCTGAATTTAAGTGTTATACAAATAATAATTTTAACAACTAATATAATCAAAATAGCATTTTATAAATGAGTTTATAATTAATATTTGATACACAGAATGCTACTGTGGATCAAATATAATGCTTCTGTCCTCCCAATTATTCAACTGTTGTTAAAAGAATGAATAATATGAATCACCGTTCTTTAGCACGACCATACTCACAGAATCATATAAAATATTTATCTGGCTGGTTAATTGTCCACAAGACAAAGAAAGTCACTTTTGAAGATATTTTTCTATAATGTTTTTATATTTTAGTGTGTGTGGGGGAAAGAGGAAGAAGATTTATAAATCTAATTTTTTCAGTTTTCTTTGCATGTTTTTCATCTTGCATTTTACCAACAATCATATTTATATCATTTGTTTATTACTCAACAAATTTTAAAGAGAGAAAATTGAAAAATTTTTAATTGTTTACAAATATAATTATATAAAATACAGGTTTGAATACTAAGAAAATGAACTTAACTAAATGATAATGTAACACTGGTCCCTCCCCCATGTTTTTATGCAATTCTAAGAATTATGTAATTAAAAAAGTTACAACTGAATGTGTTTTATTTATTTATTTTCTTTTTGCATGTAAGAATATTTTTATATATTTTGTACATTATGAAATACTAGACTTCTTAAAGCTGTAAATTTTTTATTTACATAGATGCACATTTCTATCACAATATGCATGAAACAGGAAGTATGAACAGATAAGATATAAGTATGGGAGATTCACAATGAGAAGTACTTTAAAATAAACCTTAACATAATTTACTTTACAAAGTAACTATGTGAAGTATTGCTGATTATTTATACATTGCATAGACAAAACTTGACAATGAAAGCACAGTTGATGTATCTATTTCTAATCAATAGATAGTACTTGTATGAAAAGAAGCATTTTCTACCAATGAACTTATTACCATACAGTAAAAATTAATAATAAATAAGATAGGCAAAGAACTATTTTAATCTACAGTATTATAATAAATTTATAATTTACAAATAATGCTACATTCAGTTGACAAAGCATATATATTAACTATATTAACACTATTTTTTTTTTAATACAAATAGATGCTAACATACACCTTTAATTTAATACATAACACAGGAATCAAAATATATAACAGAGTTAAAAGCTTTTATTAATTCAATTTAAATGTAAGGTATAATATAGTACTTTTATATCAGCATAACAAATGAATAAGAAGCCTAAGTATAAAAAAAATTAATTAAAGCGAAAATCAGAATATTGCTTGTTGAAAATCAATCTTTTAATTACTTTCCTAACCTCTCCTACTCCATGAAGCGACCAATCCTTGAGCATCCAGAATAAGATAATTTTTTTATGCAAATAATTATAAAAAATACTCTTATTTAATAAAATAATTATTACTTGGTAACTGACAAATTGAGGATTTATTTTTAAGACAGAATTTTACAAGTTCCTAACGAAAAGTAGTTTTTTAATACTCATCATGGCTGCAACTTGAATTTTAAATACTGAAAATAAAACAATGCTTCTGCTTCTTTACAGTTAAAAAACACACATATATATATATATTTGCATATTATTTCATACGCTTTACTGATTCTGCAAGTAGTTTAAGCACTTGGAAATCTTGTCTTAGAAATAACTATTTCATATTCCCTCATTAAAATATCTGTTTAGACTGATATCATTTAGTCCTGTAAAAAACTAAGAAAATACTGAGACTATCAAATACCTTTCAAAAAGGCAGCCCATTTATTTAATAGTAAAAATAGAAACTAAATGTGTATTACTTTACATATCTTTATATATGTACAATCCTATACAAAATATTCGTAGTTCAATTACTTTTAAATGTGTACAGACAATCACAATCTCATTGAAAGAAAAATCGCATACCAAAAGGAAAATCTACTTAAGAGTTTTTAAAATATATTATTAAATACTAAATTATATACATTTTACAATCTATATACATTTCTGCAATATCTGATGAGAAATTTGATGATAAATATTAAAATTAAATAAGCAATTTCAATAAAAATAAAAATATGGCCTTAATCTGTAAAAATTTCAAATAAAATTTATTGACAGCTTAATTTTTATTATTAGCTAATGATGTCCTGAGTCAAATATAAATTGCATTACATTAAAATACTTTTTTATATAGTACTTTAATTACAAATAGTACAAAGGCTGCAACAGAGAACAAAACAAACATAAAAAGCTTATCCAAATGCTAAGAAAAAACATTATTTACAAAACACAACATTCTTTGACTACAATAAAGTATGAGGCATTATTTCCTTTTCTTTGGTCGTGAACGCCGTCGCTTATCAGGCTTTTTTGTTTTATGAAGCTTTCCAACAGCTACACCTTGACGTCTACGGACTACTAGCTGTTGTTCAACTAGATCAGCAAGTTTTCCTTGCTCTGCAAGCATGGAAAGGAATGTGCAAATGAACTGATCATAATTATGAGTTCGTCTGCAGTCATCCACCTAAAAGCAATTAGATGCATTTGTAAGCATTTTTAATTGCTTATTATTATACACATAAAATTTATAATTCTTACTTACAATTTGCATAAAAGTGCACACAATACATAAAATATTTCTTTCAGTAAATGAGGAGAAAAACCTCATGTACTTGCTAACAATATTCACACCGTAAAAAATTTTGTCATTTTTTTTTTTCCCTTTCCATTTTAGTCTATGTGTTATATGTTTGATCAGATAGCCTGGCTCAGTAAAAGTAGGTGGCCAGTGTAACTCTGATTCAAAATCCGGTTACAACAACAGGCAGTGCAGATAACGACCACGTGCTTCTGAGGCTCCTTTGCCAATGCTTTATTTTTCTTCTTTTTTCTCCTTTCTAGTAATTTCATTCTCCTGATGAGGAGGAACCTTTAGCTGTCCTCGAAATCAATTGAGTGTTTTAATATATGTACGCTAAATACAAGGTTACTAATTCAGAAGTCAAACAACAAAAATCAGCTGAGGATGGTGGTTCGGTAAAACCATCCAAACTAGTTCTGTGAAAATTTGAAAATATAACACTGATTTTTGTTGTTTGACTTCTGAATTAGTATTTTTTCGGCGTGTTATTGTGTCTTAAATACATGCTTGTTATTGCGATTTTGATTGTCACATTGGCGTGTTTCTCTTCTATTCTAACGCGGTTTACTTTAAACACAGACAAATGTGACTCAACTGGACAGTCTACAGCATTTCTTCAATTTGCATGAGAGTTAGGAACCTTAGATAATGTACAACACGAACTCATAATAACTGAAAATGATAATTTTGTTCCAGAAATTACTCCATATTTGAAATGATTTGTGAGAACTGCACAAAACAGATATGAGAACAAATTGAGCTACACCAATAAAAACAGATGCAATATGCTCATAAGAAATGACAAGAAACTCCCAATTTACTTCTGAAGATAAATTTGGTTTATGCGATTACGCAAAGCCTCGACAGCTATCTGCCAAAGAGGAGGGATGCCTTTGTTGAGGACTTTCTAAGGGAAACTGGCTCGTATAGACATTACATATGGAGAAAACCACGAAAACGTCCATGCAGCGAGCCCATTCATGGGATTCAAACCTTGGACCGAACTACCAGTGTTCAGTCAGTATCGTTCAGCCGCTAATGGGCACTTCTGATCCCAATGAATCAGATAAAATTCTTGCAAATATCATGTTTCAGCCTCGAAAACCATTTCAAGATTTCAGGTCATATAACTTCAGTGGCTCCCTTGAAGAAAAAAACATGTCCAAAATGTGTAATAGCCATCAAACCTGTATCCGTTTCAAAAGTGGCTACTACTCGTTAAACTCGAGCCAATCCATTTTGTTCTTCACCTACTGCACAAAGTAGACAAATGTCAGTTCCTGACTTCTTGCTGAGATGTCTACAAAGTCAGAAGAGGATGTAACAGAGCTATTTGGATGTAACCGAACTATTTTATTGAATGCCATCTAGTGGGAATGAGAACAACTTATAGTTAGTCGACCTCGAGCTGAGATGAGAATAGGTTCTCCGATATTATATCTCCGTGACTCAAACGTTAATTCTAAATGTTAGGTGCTCCGTTTTGGTGTATGTTCCATTTTTATATATATTATCTTTATAACTGTTCCTGTGCTTTGTTAATAAATACTTTTAGAGCTAAACTGCATTTGTGTTTTTAGAAGAATGTTACAACTATTTATTTTTGCAAGCACACACAGATATCTGCTAATATATATTAAGATTTTCAATGCTTAGGTACTTCTAATTATATTTCTTCATTAGTTAACATTACTTCATTTTTTACTCATCTTTATTATTTTTCTAGCTGGAATATATTTTTTATCCATGAAATAAATATGCTTTCATCAATACTTCATCCAAATACACATACATTGCTACTTTATCTTTGTTTTAATCCAAAAAGTAATTTAAGTATATGCAAAAACAACCATAAAGTTCATTTTCACGTAATTCGTGATTCAAATGTGACAAAATGGTTTTGAAATTGCCTTTTTGACAAATATCTGAAGAAAATAAAAATCCTGAATGTCTTATATTTTATACAAGTTGTTTACTATATCACCTTGTACACAGATTTAGTTATCAAATATGCAATGAAAGAATGTATTCTTTGTTTTTAAAAGATGACGTACTGGATAACATATATCATTGCAAACCGCGAGGTAAAAGTTTTAATGAGATTAAAATCGAGCAAATGCTGAAACTTTCAAACACTGAGGGAGGTTACAGTACATCTAGCTTTTTACTTTTTTAAAAGTATTCTTAGTATCTGTTGTGTTTTGTTTTTGGGAATTGCATACAATTACTTTCACTTGCATAATATCCAAAATTATTTTACTCACTTTATATTTTTTCCTCTTCTCAATTTCATCATGAAGATTACTTTCACATATAGCTATTTCAGTCTCAACAGTTTTCAAAAGTGCCAGCAAATCCTAACGTGAAAGTCAGTAAGATGCAGGTTTTATACCACAGTTTAAACAAATTTATTAAATCTAACTTAAATGAAAAATATGATTACATTCATATCACATTTCATTATATTTTAAATAATAATAATTTTCCCATATATAATCTATTTTATCATTATTATTATTAATCTAATCATTAATTAATTAAATGCTGTCAAAGCCATAACTGAAAATTTTATGTTAACATTTTGACAAGAAACACCAGTGTTCTGGAGACTGTTAATACATAATTTATAAAAATAACTTTTAAAATTCATGCACACATTACAATATAACACACATTCTTAGATTATTATATCTTTGTAAATTCTCAAGATAAATAAATAAATAAATAAAAAATTATTAAATCTTATACCATTTACTGGCTTTTTTATTGGGAAGGGTGAAGAAGTTACAATTCATATATAAAGGAAGAATAACACACATAGGAATAACAACAAATATATAAACACATACCTTTGGTGCAAATCTGTGAGGTTCAATCAACTGAGGACGTTTAGATGAGACAGATCCATTATTTTTAGAACTTACATTTTCACTAAGATTGGAATTAGAATTTTTTGGGTTTGATTCTTGGTATTCTTTGGATGCATTTAAATGGTCTGAACTATTTTCGTTAGTCAAAGATTCAACACATATTTTTTTTACAGGAGATTCTTCCATAGTTTCTTCAGGGTCATCAGCCCTTTTCCCACAGTCTGCAGACTTAGATCCATCAGAAGAAGAAGTTTCCATTTTCGTCAACGATATATCACCAGAGCAGCCTGAACTCATACGAATGACAACAAACTTTTTAATGTCTCTAACGTCATCAAAAATAGAGGATTCAGGAGGCCTACCTTTTACAGAGTTAGGACTACACTGACTGAAATTACTATGCATAGATTGAACTGGAGAATTGAATGCACTTCCAACTTCAGAAGAAGTGTCAGTGCTTGAAGCACTCGGAGCTGGGGATGCTTCAAACTTTGTTTGGATACTGAGTGGTTTCATTAAATCAGGTGAAGTATTGATTGACAATGGCACCATTGCATTTTCATTTCTCTCTGTTGGAGATTTGACATCTGTAGTAGTAACACTATTAGAGTTATTGCTCATGATTTCTTTTTCTGGAACTCGAGAATCATCATCAGAATAGTCTGAACCACTATAATCTTCATAATGAGGCTGACAATCAGATCTACCTGAAGTTAAACCCTCCATGAGAGGGCTTTTGGCATAGTTGTGATTGTCCAGAGCAGCTGGTAACTTTGGGTATGGTGAACTTCTGTCTTGATTCTGAGGAACAGTTTTTTGTTTGGCTTCCAAGCTATATATGAAAAGTAACAAATTGTTAAAAAAGATAGATTAAAAAAGTCATATCTAGTTACTTCACTTTTAAAAATATTATGTTACATCACTATAACAACATTGTGTAATAGTAGTAATAATCAAACTGTAATAGCAGTTCTTTGTATTCTATATAATTTTATTTTGTCGACAAAAATTAAAATTTTGGCAAACTACATTCATTTGATGGATTATTAAAAATCATAGCAATATGCTATCTATATATAAATAGATAGCAAAACTGACCAATCAAAAATAGATTTTAAAAACTGAGAATGAGAAGCATTAACCTGAAAACAAACATATATAACCAATAAATATAAATTTAAATAAAAAAAATATTAAATACAATATCCTATCAATTTTTGAACCACAATAGAATACCCAATTAGTAATTACAGAGAAAATATGCGAACTGCAAATTTCACTTTTGAAGCAGAAATAGTTACAGCTAAAATAAATCCACTTTTTTTTTTTTTAAGCTTTTATTAAATTTCTGCTGTATTTCATATAAGCAATATTTTAAATTAAATTAAATGTACTTTTTAAAGCTTATTTTTTATGACATAATATTTATACTGTGTACACAGAAACAATTAAATGCACTCAACTGTTTTACGATCCTTTGACTAATCCAAATTAAACAAGCCTAACTGTAGTTTAAACTAGATTAATTGCAGATAATTGGGGATAAAATTATTACAAAATCAAAATAAACCTTAAACTGATACATCATCTATTTAAAAAAGTAATAATAATAATAATTCAAGAGAAAATGAATATTTTTCTTATATATAGCGTTACTGCCATATAATTCAACTTGCTTTTGACACTGATGTCTTTCCTCAACATCTTATAATCTCATATATATTTACATCACTATTTCCTCAGCAAAAATATGCTCTTAGAATGAGAACGGTATCAACACCAAATTACGTATTAATAACCAAATATTAAATGGAAATCTTCAGAAATGTGCCCTAAAATCTTCTTAAATTATTAAATATTCAACTTTGAAAAAGAGAACTAAATTTGTTCACTGAGTGAAAATAGTGTATAACTGAAAAGAGTTTCTGTTTAATGTCTAGTAACACTCACTGAGTTAACTTGGGTATACTGAACTACATTACTTCCGCACACCTAAGTAAATGTATTCAAGATTTTGGGGGGCGGCTTTGGCCCTATAAATACAACAGAATGTATCTGCTATAGTTTTGATTTAAAATAAAATTTAAAAAAAAAAAAAAAACTTTTTGAATTTTTCTTGGTGCATTAGGCTGTGGTCTCAAACTGATGACTCCATAAGCATCTTTATGCGGTCCACAAAGACATTTTAATTATGAATTCATTGCAAATATAATATTATAAAGATTTTAATTATTTCAAGTCCAAATTTACATTATTTTCATTACCGTTAAAATTAACATCAATAACGCAACAGAAAATCTGTAAATGGAGCTAACTAATTTGTAATGTAATATAAATCTTATTCAAAGATTTGGAGATACACATTTTATTAACTTTTATTATTCTTGTCAAAAAAATTAATAAATTCAGTTATGAATTTTTGCACTAAGAATAATCTTGTTTGGGAATACAGTCAATTCTGATTAATCGGACCACACCTGGAAGCGATTGTTTTGGTTCTAATAAACCGGCTGGTCTGATTATACGAACATGGCCTATGTTGTAAGACGGGACGTGCTATATGTAGCAAACAGTAAATGTACATGTAAATAACATACTAAAATGCAGTTATGATCTTTTTTGTGCAGTACACATGTATAGCAAACATACATGTACAAACAAGAACTACAGTCGAACTTTTTTCATTGAGAAAATTAATTTAGAAACAAACTCTAAGAAACAATCTTGAGAAAATTAATTTAGAAACAAACTCTAAGAAACAATCTTGAGAAAATTAATTTAGAAACAAACTCTAAGAAACAATCTTGAGAAAATTAATTTAAAAACAAACTCTAAGAAACAATCTCCACGATACTCAGCATGCAAAACACAAAACGAGTTCTTACCAAGTTCCAGTCAACATTTGAAGAACTTATCCAATGTGATCTGACATGTTCTCTTGACGGATTGCACGTGAACGAAATCACCACAAACATCTAATGCAGCAATGGGACTGCCTTCATTTCCCTCCTGCATGAAATACTGACGCAAAGTTTCAATGCATTTCCTCGCATCCTGTGTTGTCACTTGCACCACTTATTAGCGGCGGCATCATCATCATCACTTTCTTGGTCTTCCGATGCTGTCGTGTGTTTTGCTGCTACTCGAGCAACGATTGCAGCATCATAATCTTCATTTTCATCGTAGCATTGAAGCTCCTTGTCAAGGGATAAAAATTCTTCGCAATTTTGTACCTGTTGAAGTTCCACACGTAAATCATCTTTTTACTTTCAATGAGCATGTCCACATCCATCTCCAAAACCAAGTGCTTAATGCCACAGTGAGAAAAACAGTTCTGAATTGTCTCACTGCTCACTTTTCGCCAGCTGTGGGCCACAAATGTACTTGCTTGTAAGATGCTGACCTTTTGACTGTGCTGGCTTTTGATGATGAGGTCAGCAGACTTTCTTTAATTGCTTCAAGGATGTAATTAATGAGGATGTGCTGCACAACTGTCAAGAAGAACCTGCACTTTTCTCAACTGGAATTGTAGCTCTCTGTCCCAATCCTTCAACCATTCTTTAACCCTTTGAAGGGCGGTATATAAAATAATTTAAACTGTGGTAAAATTTTGCATGAATTATAACTTATGGACCCTAGAGACACAAAATTGAGACTTAAAAAAAATCTAGAGCGAAATCCTAAATTTTGAGAACCGGTATATATTTTATACCGGCGCCTCTCTAAGACATTTTTTTTCCAGGGAGGTGCCAATTGTTAATTTTTGATTTTCAAATTAATTTTGCGTACTTTTGATGTGCGTCTGTAGAGATGGGTGATTGAATACAGTTATGCAAGTCTGAAGACAAAAACTTAAAATTTCGGTTGAAATTTAAAATTTTAAAACTAAAATTTCTATTTTTATACACTTTCATGATGCAAACCGGCTGAACATACTTATGTAAAATATGGGTAAAAAGTATTTGAATTTGATTTAAATTCAATATTATTATTTTATAAAAAAATAGTAAATATGACACTGCATGCGTAAATCATATGCTGTAACTGAACTAGTATAATATTATAAGGAGATATAACAGCCAAAAAATTTTAAAAATTAAAAAATGAAACACTAGGACTCAGATGAGAAAGTATGTTGAATTTCTGAAGTAATATTTTATGCTTTAGTTAATATGTAAAAAAACCATGGTTCATGCTATGATACGAAGAATCCCCCTCCCCACGCACACACTTTCGATTATTGAGAACCGTAAGGCCCCCCCTTTTTTTTGTAAATATAGGTTGTAATATATTTTTTGTTCAGGAAGAAACGTCGTTAAACAACTTTATTATTTTATACACCTGAAAGCTTTTATTTCGATTTTCAAGCCCTTTGGCCTCCTAGGGGCTCCTTTTCAACTTTTGGATAAATTCTAGTTTGCATCTTACGGGCCTTAGAAATATTTTTTCTCATTTCACAAACTGTGAAATTTATTTCAAAAACAACCTAACCCTTAATTTCTCTTGCGTTCCCTAGTCTTTCATCTGAAATGAACAAAGACGATAAGAATAAAAGCATGCTTTCAAATCAGCAGTTTTTGTGATTACACGAGATTACAAGAGATGGACCTTCAGTGCACTTCCATTTCCCGTATTTTTAAGTGAGCTTTCACTTTGTCTGATCTTATCACACTACACAAAGGGAAGAAGGCTTGACTCCCGAATGACAAATCAGTTGTCAATCACCTCCTTTCATTTTCGTTGGATTCTAGGATTTTGGAAAACAGGAAGCAAAGGGTGTATATTGGGGACTAACATGCCACATTTAACGCTACAATTGTGTAAAATTTTGACCCCAGATGGCAATTTCGAAATCAATGAGTCTTTCTCTTGGGAAAGGGTGAAGTGCCGAAGTTAAAATTTTAGCTAAATAGAGACGAATGAAACTCGCGCAGAGTCAAAAAAAAAAAAGAATAAAAAGAAACAAATATACTTGTATTCAGTCCTAGTGCTGGGTCAGTAAACTCCCCATCCCTTCATGAACATAATACTGAATCCTAAACAACTTGTAAATTAATCATAAACAAATTGTTACATCATAAACTACTATAATGTAAAGAAATGCTGTCATCTCTCACAGTACAGAAGGAGAAGTCTGGTGCTGCCATCTATTGGCAAGTTACCCTCAGTAGGGGCACCGGTATATATTATATACCGGTATTAAAAATGTATACATAATCTTTTAATTATCAGTTTTGATTGAAATGCAGTAAATATAAAAGGTTCAGCATCTGTACGTCATATATTTGGAGATTTTGAATTTTTCTTTCCCTCCAATAGAATTTATCAATCTTCAAACATGATACCTTGGAACGAGGTATATTAATTTCATAACTGCAAAATATTGATCATTCATAGGGTGGTGCTGCCATTTACAATCGAAAGGAAACACTAGAAACTTACGATTATAGCTTTTGGTGTAGATAAATTATAATTTTTTCCGAGGTTAAAAAATTGACAAACAACCGGTATATATTATATACCGGTGCCCTTCAAAGGGTTAAAAAGTTCAGATGTCATCGACACATTTCTGTTCGCAGTATACACAACTGGTAAACTGTCCATCCTAAGTCCTTTAAAGCAGCGAGGCTTAGTGCTTTTTCCTGTAACCAACAGCTTCCTCTTGTTCATTCCTGACATGTTTGAGTAGCACAAAACAGTTACGCCATTCATCGTTTTTTTGGAGCCAGAGAGTGCAACATGTTTGTAATTTAACAAGCCATCCGGTGTAGCTCGATAATACAGCCCAGTCTCATCAGCATTGTAGATATCCTCTGCTGAAAAATTTTCAAG